ATAGCGAGTCTATATATATATAGATAGATAGACACACACATGTAATGGTTTGCAAAATTCACGGTTCGGTACGTTTTCGATACAGCAAAAAGAAAGAAATGCCAGAGAAATTTCCTTGATTTTTTACAATATTTTTAATTTAATATTTATATAATATTTAATAAAAAAAGTTGGGTTAGTCCATATTTGACCTAAAATTGGGTTGAAACAACCCAGCATTTTTTAGTGTATTAAAATGTATTCTTTACTTTGAACAATGATGGATAATTGACCCATCTTCTGGGGTGTCTTTTTAGCAAACAAAAATAGCTTCGGTTTGAAGTATTCCAGCTGATGTACAGTAGCCTATTGTCATGTAGCAGATTAATCTTTTCCAATAAGTTTAAATTGATTTTTACCTTTTATGGGCATTTTTTACCTTTATAAAGTCATTTTTTTCTAAAAGTCTGCATCACCTTTTGAGTCTTTTTTTTCTCTTTCATTGAATAAGTCAATAAGACATTTGGGCTGTTACCAAGCAAATGAAGTCAGTATTGACAAAAAATTCATCTTTCCAATGCAGAGGAACATACAGGTATTTTTTAAATATAAGTACAATGTAAAAACATGTATGTACACAATAAGTGCATTGTACCAAATTATTAATTTAAATGTAAGTACATAGTTGTTAAGGCCACTTAATATAAAGTGGGTCCATCTTTTCCAATAAGTTTAAATTTATTTTTACCTTTTATGGGCATTTTTTACCTTTATAAAGCCATTTTTTTTCTAAAAGTGTGCATCACCCTTTGAGTCTTTTTTTTATTTTATTTTTTTTACATTTAATAAGACAATAAGACATTTGGGCTGTTACCAAGCAAATGAAGTCAGTATTGACAAAAAATTCATCTTTCCAATGCAGAGGAAACACAGAAGTTGCATCTGAATGGCATTTTCTTTTGCTTTTACACACTGTTTAATGCAGCTCAGAGGGACATGCAATGCTTTAACCTGCAGTTACAAATGCATAAATAATGTTTTGATATTTTAAACATAAAACATTGACAACTGATGTTTGAAATTAATTGAAAAAATTAAAAGTTACTTTAAATGTGAAATTAAAACCACCAGTAGGTGGCAGCAAGTCACTGTTAACAAGTGAGTCATTGCGATTGAACCGAATCATTTAACAGTTGATTCATTCAGGAACGAAAAACTGTCATGTTGCTCAGAGACGCAGAACAGTGCTGTGACTGTGTTTGGATTTATTTTTGTTGTCGAAATTGAGCAAAAACAGGCAATGTGCTGTCTAAAACGTAAGACTATTAATTAACTTCTTGTTTATTGAACTGTTGTAAAATCATTTGTAATCATGTTGATTTTTGGAGAGAAAAAAACGGCACTCTTCTGTGATATTGATTAACTATATGAAATTATGTAAATATACACATTTTCTGCCCCCATATTTTAAATTTTGTGATCATTAAATGCATTTTAATAGACTGAATCATGCAGTGAAAGAACACACTCTAAATGCGCACTTG